GTTGGTAGATTGGCCGAAAGTTATATGAACAATCCTATTCAAGTGTGTGTTGGTTCGCTTGATTTAACTGCCACTCATACTGTGAGTCAAAATGTAGAACTCTTGGAGGATGCGGACAAATTTAATACGGTAATATTATTTGAAAACTTAAATAAGAAGAATTATGAAGAACAATGTATTTATTCTTGTTGCAGGTCCTTGCATTTTTAAAAAACCTTAAATCAACCGATAAGGTTATTATCTTCTGTTCTAAGCGAGCTCGTGCTGACGATTTGTCCAGTGATTTATCTCTAAAAGGCCTGTCAACACAATGTATACATGGTTCTCGTGATCAGGTACATAATGCATTAACTTAATTAGAGTAATGTCTCAGAATATAAAATTCTTATAAACTTAAAAAAAATTGTCTTTAGACCGATCGAGAACAAGCACTGGCTGATATAGCGTCAGGTGATATACAGGTTTTGATAGCGACAGATGTTGCTTCAAGAGGTTTAGATATTGAGGATATTACGTAAGTGCTTAGTAGTATTTGAAACCGAATTTGTTGTATTAATTGTTTTTCATTTAGTCATGTTATTAATTTTGATTTTCCGCGTAATATTGAGGAGTATGTTCATCGTGTTGGTAGAACTGGACGCGCTGGGCGAACTGGCACTGCCATAAGTTATATAACACGCTCGGATTGGGGTGTTGCAAAGGATCTCATTCGTATTTTAGAAGAAGCTGGTCAAGCAGCTCCAGAAGAACTATACAGAATGTCCAATCGTTTTGAGAAGATGAAAGAAAGACGTGGTACAGATTTTAAAAGGGGTGGTGGTTTTAATCGCCGTTACTAAATGATATTTTTTTAATATATGGTAGGGGTATTATTCGATAAACAAGATCGTGAATAACCCTGTTTGATTCGAACCGATCAGTGTTTTACTTAAAAAAGTGTTGATCGTTAAAATTGAAAATTAATTAACAAACTATTTCTAATGTTATTAGTATAGTAATGTACAATAAGAAAAATCTAAAATAAAATTAATTAAAAATGTGTATTATTTAAATTGAAATACAAAATTACATTTTAGAATAAGGTTTTAAATAAGAAATATTTAAAATATGTTTTTTATACAGTGAACTTTGTTAATTTAATAAATTTAATCAATTACAACTTTATGATGATTCTATTGTGTTCTTACTTTTTCGTTTGTAAAAGTTTCAACTTTTTCCTGAAAATAAGATATTTTATTTGAAATTTTTTTAAGATGGAGATTAATTATTTGTACAGGCAACGATGTGAGTTAAATATTGTAATCGCTATATACGATTTTTAATCAGAGGCTGATAAAGTTGATTAAATTTCTGTATTAGTAAGTTTTCTAGTTGTTTCATTTAAAATGAATTTTAATAGGATTCAGTTTTAATAGGATTCATAAATGTATTGGATGAGGTATAAAATGAACTTAATATAAAATATATATTTTTTTCACATTATACATATTTAATTTGAATGTTATTTTAAACAGACAATTGATAGACAATTGATCACTGCTTAAGTATAGTACTGTAGTCAAGTCAAGGTCAAGTCAAGCCAATGAATGCCATTATACTAACTTGAAATCTTTACTATCACTTCGAATGATCATTTCTCACTAAGCCATAGATAAGACCTCCTAAGAAATCAATTCATCTGATCAGCGAAGATCGTTATCGATGTCATTTGAAATAAATCTTTAATTTAATTAATTTAAATAATAAACGTCATTTAATTTAATAAAATTTGTTAAAGTTGTATACATATAATATTTAATAAAAGCAGCTATACGCAGATACGTGTTAACATGGCTGTCTGATTAAATGGAAAAGAAAGAAATTAGAAAGCACGCTTTCCAAATATTGATAAATTTTATCAATAATTTTATTTTATTATTCCATTGCGAGTGTAGATATATATTGTTCGATTTGTGGACTATAGAACAAGTAACATATAGTTGTTCATGTGGAAGATTATCTGTGTTGAGAGTTGAACCACAGTATCCTAAATATTGAACTAAGCTCGCTTTAGATGGTGATTGCAGACGCCAATAGAATTGTGAATTGCAATCTTTTGAATTGAAATGGCATATCCGTTAGAATTATTGGATTGCGGAGATTAAAGACATCTTTACCTTTGAGAGAGGTCTGTAATATTTGTATGATTAATATAATATTGTTATATATGATAACTGATACTCCGATTTTCAATCACAGTAAATGGGGTAGAATCGATTACGGTTAGAGTGAATTAAAAAATTCTGTTTGCTATTTAATCTGTTTGTATGATTTCTTATTTACATGTCGGTTGCTAATTAACAGAATTTCAAAGTGAATTGAGTAGCTCTTCAAAATGATGTAGCATTTATCATTATCATTTTGGAATGAAATTATTTTTCAATATTTTATAACACTCGCGACAAAAGATTGGCCATTGACAAATCAATAGACACAAAAGGGAAAACCAAACGATATATTTTGAATAAATCACCGCCTATTGCACAAAATATATAAAAAATCATTAACATAATTCTTAATATAATGAACTCAAAAACAATCCGAGCTACTCTGACGAAATAGATCTTTAATTTTGAGATCTCTAGTTGCCTCTTTCTCTGCAAATTTAGCAGATTTTTCATTTACGTTGGTATCAGGTACAGGCACAGGGTTTTGACGACGTATTCCAGACGTAAGTGCTTCCAAAATTTCTTAAGAGATCACATTTTTGTTTTTTTCCACGACTGATCTCTGTTTGACATTAGTATGACATTTTTAATGTTGTACCTTTTGCAGAAAGTTTTATGGTATATTGATTCTCAAACCAGCTCTTACTTGCATTATAAAAGACATGTTTGTCGTTTTCTTCACTGTTAAGCAAAACACGATCAGAAATACAGCTGGGTCGTTAATCGAGGTTACTGTTGTACGAAGTAGCTGTTAATCGAGTTATTAGTGTATAGGTTCTTCTGAGACGCTCTTCTCAGAATGCTAATCGGTACATTGTTCTTATCAATGTAACCGTAATTTTATGAATTGAATTTGATATGATTATATGAATTTGATATGAATATGTCAGAACTTTGTAAACTTTTATAATTTAACACATGTAGTATGAAAATAGTATGTGGGCTTACCTATTAAATAGTGTGCTAATCCGATTTATCCCCTTGTGAAATTCATTTGTGTCCAAAAAGTCTAAACCAAATTAATATAGTTACATCACGCAAATTTGAGTATGGGCTGCCAAATGTATTTATATTAATTTTGAAAGAACGACACAAGTTTTCTTGTTCATTGGTTACTTTTGCAAGAGACGAGTCGGTGGTCGGATCGTTTTTTTAGCGGCTTGTGTTTTTTCAATTGGATTTGGTTTTAAGGCTGGTATGTATCTTCCTCCAAAAAATTCGTGTTTCGTGATTCATGATTCGTGATTCGTGATACTTGATACGTGTTTCATGACTTCAGTTCGAATATATGTTCAACTTTTTTCAATTAATTCTGGAACTTGTTAAAAATATTTTATAGTATTAAGAATTTTTGATTTGTTTTCGCAACCGACAAGAACTTGAAACAGCCGCCAATTTTGCTTGTTCCAAGAAATAACTGCAAATATAATGCACATATTAAACAAAAAGTTTTAAAGAAATCATTGTTTCTTTATTTAAAGAATTTTAAAACTATAATTAAAAAACAAAAATTAACTATAAAAAAAAATCACTGCAATTCACATATATTTAAGGTTATGTGACGTATTTGCAAAAAAAATCTCCATTTGAAATATTTATATAAGAATCATTGCGTGATGAGACTTAAGAAGGCGGCGGCAGTATTATTTTCGACATACTTTAAACATAAGAGTGCAATTGCTTTATTCCCTAATAATCAATGTTAAAAAACATATTTTTAATTTTAATAGTCAATTTTAAATACCGTTTCATATGTTATGATTGAGGAGTTCGTAAAAGCGGTCGTGATTTGAATGTTTGAAATTTGGTTCGTTTTATAGAAAACGGAATAATCAGGTATTCCTTTATTTAGATTTTGCTTACTTCAAAATGGATACTTTTGGAACTGGTGCAACTCAATCTGAAAGGAACGAGTGTGGAGTTTTAAACTCAAACTTAAATCATTTTGATGATTTTATGGAGAAATTTCCTGCAGACCCTGCTTACATTGGTGCCATAATTGGTCGTGGCGGTTGTAAAATTAAAGAAATTAGAACAAACTTCAACGTTTATATACATATAAACAATGACACCAAGGAAATTTCTGTCAAGGGTCGTAATAGAAAAAATGTTGACGATGCAGTCAAATATATTCGTGATATTATGTCTGGTCAAGAAAATAGAAATTTTTCATTTCCAAATCACGAAGTCTCGCACAATCCCAAAGTTGTATTAAAAGAAAATACAATGAATCGTTTTAATGCTTCTTCCGAAAATGACAATATTCAGGTTGCAGCTCCAAAATCTGTAAGTATAAATTAAAAAGAATGAGAATATGGATATATATTAATATAATATCTCATAACAAAATTAATTTAGGGAGAAAGTGGTGGAATTAGATTAAATGCGCCTACGAAAAATGTATATAATGGTGGCGCCGAAAACCATGTAGTATTGCAGCCTATCGATTGGGAAACTTTGAATAGAAAAGTTGTAAGAAAAATTTTTAAAATCTACATATTAAGTTATCGATTTACCATATTTATTTTGCTCACATGAGGCATTTTTGATTACAGGAAGAACATCGTAGGTTACACTGGGCGCATCTGCCAGACTTGAGAAAAAATTTTTATGAAGAAGTAGAGGAAGTCGCTATTAAGACAGAAGAAGAAGTGAATGAAATGCGTTATTTAAACAATAATATAAGTGTTTCCCGTTTGGTGACAAATGAAGATCAAATGTGTCCTGATATACCGAAACCAATTTGGAAATTTCAACATTGTTTCAAAGATTATCCTGATATCCTTGATGAGTTAAAGAAACAAAATTTTAATGAACCATCACCAATACAGAAGCAAGCATGGCCTATATTATTGAGAGGCGAGGATATGATAGGTATAGCCCAAACAGGGACTGGAAAAACTTTAGCATTTCTGCTTCCTGCTTTGATTCATACTGATGGACAGACTACACCACGTGAGAAACGTAATGGTCCAAATATATTAATTTTAGCGCCAACGCGAGAATTAGCATTACAAATAGCAAAAGAAGTTAACAAGTACTCGTTCCGTGGAATAAAAGCGTAAGTTAGGAAATAGTTAAACCATAGTTTAAAATGAATGAAGAAAAAAATTATGAAATTCTTATTCAGTGTATGCATTTATGGTGGTGGGAATCGTCGTGACCAAATTAGTGTTTTCAAAGAAGGAGCTGAATGCGTTATTTGTACTCCTGGACGTCTTAATGATTTGGTTCAAGCTAAAGTTATAGACATTACATCAGTTACATATTTAATACTAGACGAAGCGGATCGTATGCTGGATATGGGTTTCGAGCCACAGATCCGAAAAATTCTACTCGACATACGTCCTGACAGGCAGACCGTCATGACTAGTGCCACCTGGCCACCAAGTGTTGGTAGATTGGCCGAAAGTTATATGAACAATCCTATTCAAGTGTGTGTTGGTTCGCTTGATTTAACTGCCACTCATACTGTGAGTCAAAATGTAGAACTCTTGGAGGATGCGGACAAATTTAATACGGTAATATTATTTGAAAACTTAAATAAGAAGAATTATGAAGAACAATGTATTTATCCTCCTCGGTCCTGAAGGCTTCCCACAAAAAAAAAATTCTTAAAATCTTTTAGCTATTGTTTATATGCATTCAAATAAAAAAAAAAAATTGATTAGACGATTTTCTGTCGCACGGATATTGAGATATGGCAGGTGCAGCCAGCTGGACACTTGGAATATATAATGTAAAAAAAATGTGGTCTTTTAAATTTTTTCTATTATTACAAAATAAAAAGTTTTATTTATGAATTAAGGAAACTTATGAACTTTATTAAGTTATTTACTTTAAAATTATAAATTTTATATCTAAATTAAACAAAAATTACGAATTTCATTAAATTATATTAATTATCATTAATAAATTATATTAAAATATACGAATTATAGTTAAAACTACTTAAAACTAAGTTATGAATGAAACTCAAAAAAACATTGCCTATCATTAGCTATACATAAAAAAACATTACACGAAGTGCATTTAAATCTAGTTTTTTGATGACAACCCTCTCTGCGACAGCGCATAAACTTATTTTTATCTGTAACACCGCATATTGGTAAATGTCTGTTTTCAGTACGGCAGACATCCTCTGGTGGAAGTGGATTTGGTGTTTTGGTTTTTTTTCTAACCAATAAATCTTTATCACTTGAACTGCTCTCTGTGAACGCTTGATCATAAGTTCTTCTTTTGGATTCTGCACATGCAGCAAAGCATTCTCCAATATTCAGTTTGAATTCAAGCAAGTCCATGATCTCTTTTTTGCATACACCACACGCAAATTTGTCCTTCTTGTACATAACCCAGCAATTTGTTATTATCAGATCAACCATATGCCAAAATACTTTAACAGGCCACTTTTTTGTGCGAATAGCAATGCGATAATAGGAAATCAATCGATCTGCAAGATCGACATCACCCATTGAGTTATTATACCTTGTAATGGCATTTGGACAATTAATATTTACATATTTTTTTGTAGTTTTATTCCATCTCCGAACAGTTTGAATTGGGTCGGATCCAACCGCTGTAGTAGCTAGCAATACTGATTTGTTATCCATCCACTTGATGACAGATATTTTTTCATCTTGCCTGACTATCTCATCGAAACTACCTCTTCCTTTCTTTAAAAGATCTTTATCAAGAGATAGCTTTGTGCGCAATTCTTTTGGGATACGGTTTTGTTGAATTGTTCCCGTAGCATATATCTCATTTTCTAAGAGAAAAGTCAGTAAATTCATGGACGTAAAATATCTATCCATAAATATCTCACTGCCTTTGGGAACGTTTTTGGTCAGTCTTTCTACAACTGTGCCTCCAATGCCCAATGCTGGATTGGGTTTTCCACAGGGCCATGTTTTTGCTCCTTGATAAATGAAAAAATCAAGGACAAGCCCATCCGGAGAAGCCAATACAAAATTTTTTAAGCCTACTGGATTCGGCTTACATTTCACATATTGCTTTAATTGAGTAGTTCCAGTAAATGGGATCATTTGTTCATCGATACTCAATTTTTTACTCTTTGGAATTGCATTGCATTTGTTAATAACTGTATCCAAAATAGGTTGAATTTTCCAAAGTCTGTTTTTCTCCTTCTCTCGGAATTTGGGTTATTGCAGCTACTTTAATGGAGGGTTTATAGTACATCCTAATTCTAGGAAGTTTCATACAACCTGCAATTATGTGTGCACCAACT